GGGGGGGGCAGAGGATGAGGGAAGACCGGGGGAGCAGGGCATAGAGCTGAGGGGAGGCCTCTTGGAGGGGGCAGGGGTGGCACTGAGGGGACACCCCATCGGGCAGAGTCTGGATCCCCGTGGTAGCGCACCTCGCTGATTTGTCAGCCCTAAATGCTTCAAGGCTGCCGTTGTTTGGGGGTTTTTTCCCTCTCTTTTCTCTTCTCTCCCCTCGGTTTAAACATGGAATAGATCAAAATGGTTTTAGTTTCTTAGTTCAGACCTTCCCTTATACATAACTAAAACTATGATGTTCTGTAACAGACCATGAGTCCCATAATAGAGGTTGGGGAATAGATACTAACCCTACCAAGTACTTGATGTAAAGGTTCTGTGATATTTTTGTCTCTGTCTGCAGATAAAGATCTACAGTTTCACATTGTTAAGCAAGCTAGAGCTCAGAGTATAAAAGAAGGTACAGGCTACAGTGAAGGTAAGTAGTAAGCAGTAAGCAGATACCAAGGTGACTTTGTGAGCTCTCCTGTGGAAAGCTGCTCTTCTCTCCTCCCTCACAGCTACCTTCATTCTGCTTGTGAGCTGCTGTGAGTTTTTGGCATATTTTTAGTAATCCATCCCATGTATGCTTTGGAGCATAACTACTTTCTCTACTTGGGACAACTAGATAAGAGAATCTGAGTCTGTTGTGCTTACGTCTCTAGTTCTCTTCAGGACTGGAAAATCAATACTGCAAAATTGAGGAGTTTCTTAAAGCACTAGTCTTTTACTTCCCATTCTAGTACCTGCACTTTACTTTCTGCCTGTGTTTTCTGATACTATCCTTCTGCTGATTGTGGCCCAAATTCATCTAGTGCTACCTCTAGCCTTGTTCTTCATGTAATGGTTCTTCATGCAATGTTTTGTTTAAGGGTTAATTGCTAGACGTTAGCTGTATGTGCTTGTCCATCACTCCTCAGATCAAAACCGAAACAATATGTGTATTTTTATGCTGGATTGTTTTGATACTGTCCTAAGAAGTTTTGTAAGAGGTACACTGGCGCACCTGCAAATTTGATGTTGTTCCTTGCCACTGCTCTCAGCTCATTAGTTCCTTTATGTTCCGTTTTTCAGCGGGTTTTGTGACTAGTTTTGGGGACAGGTTAAGGCTGACTTGAGCTTCTCTGAGCGTTCAGACCAAGGCAGAGTAGAAAAGTTACCTGTAGAAACCACTATAGACCTGCAGCATACTGTTTGGATATGACTGCAACACCTGAAGGGCACAGCATTTACTGTCTGTAGTCCTTTAGTTTGGTAAACATTTGTGTGCAGAAGGAAAAGTTCATTAGGGGGCCATTTAGCTCAGTGGTTTGAGCACGGTGCTGACAACAATGACCGACACCGAGGCTGCGGGTTCGATTCCCGCTCAGTCCCCAAGTGTTGCCTGGTCTAGTCGAGAGGTGGCGTCCCTGCCCAAAACAGGGAGGTTGGACTAGATGATCTCTAAGGTCTCTTCCAGCCTAGGCCATTCTATGATTCTATGATTTGTTCTGCTTTCCTGACAGTCAAATATGGCAGCACTTGCTCAGGCATAGTGTTTCACATTGTTTTTGTTTCTCTGGCATAGCAAATGGACCTTCAACAGAGAGTTGTTTGGGAAAGAGCTTTCATGGGACTGGCACTGTGTTTGGAGTACGTTGGGTGCATTTCCTCTGGAGGGAAGTGGTAACTCATTAATTTGACAAAAGCACATCCAGATAAACTCTTTATAAAGTGATGCATTGCAAAGATATGCCAAGGAGCCACTAGATGCCAGTGTTGGCTGTTGAGTTTTCAGTGCAAGTTTGCATTTCTCTGAAGAGAACACTAAAACTGTATTGGGGTGGCTTTCATTGTGGCATCTTGGCCTGTTGTAAGATTTATTGCCTTGGAGTTTGTTTAATTTAAAGTCTTTGGCAACAGAAGGAAATGGAAAAGTGCTAGTCATTGTAAATTTCCATTTGACTAACTCTATTAAAGAAAATAATTTTCTGTAAATTCTAACTGTATTTAGAATATTAGGATAGCTATGTAGTAGGACGGAAAAGCTCATCTTAATCATAAGTTTTGAAATTCTTGTAAAATTGCAAGCATGTAACTGTTATGGCACTTTTATGGGCCCCTGTGACCCTGTAAGAAAGATGCATTTAAAAAAAGTAATAACTTAGTGTTCATGTCTAAATCTGTTTGTTTGGTTTAGAAAAGTTTTGGTGTAGGCTCCAAGTACAATATTGAAGAAATCTTATATTTTAGGTTTGTGGTTGTAGAGTTATTGTAGCTGTTCTTGCTCTTCTTTGGTCTCTTCAGTGAAAGCAGGATGTGAAAGATTTCCCAGCTTCCATTAAGTGATGAATGATCTAGAGCTTTGCTGTTGTGAAGGCTCCTGCGTACACCCCGTCATGTGTGTTGGCAATCTGTTATAAAAGCTCTGTCGAGAAGGTGACAGTATGAGCAAGACTCATTTGCACAGTGCCCAGTTATCTTGTCTCCTAGAAGCTTTCATTCTTGTTGGCAGAACAACAGGTATTTTGCAGCTGGTACTTTAAAGAAAGTATTAGGAGTAAGAGAAACCCACCAGTTAGAGCTGCAGCCTCTTCTCTCTTGCTGGAAAGTATAAGCCAAGAGCTGAAACTGGTGGGACAATACAATCTAATCTGATCATGTGAACACCTATAACTAACAATGTAAGCAGTCAGGAGAGGTTACACAGACTGCGTGGTGCTGGGCAGGGATTTGGACCTTGTTTTTGCCTTTGAGCAATTTTCCTCCTTTCAAATAAGAATGAAACTTCTTACAGATATGTAGGGTAAGGGTGAAAACAGCATGGGTGCTTCCTGTGTTGTCTGTCTGTCTGTTTGTTTGTTTGCTTGTTGAGCTTCTCAACGTTTTCCTGAATAATTATGCTATTTTACTAGTAACAGCTTTCTGTTCAACCTCCAGGGTCTTACTCATTACTACCCGTAGAAGTGCCTCAAAATCACAAGCGTTTCACATGTGACCTGACTCAAGCCGATCGCCTTGCTCTTTATGATTATGTTGTTGAGGAAACAAAGAAGCAGAGGTCTAGATCCCAAATAACGGAAAATGACAGTGATCTCTTTGTGGACTTGGCAGCGAAAATCACCCAAGGTTTGAAGAACAATCTGTTGTTGAATTTATGGTGCAGAGCTCACTTTGTGTAGTAGTTAGATGAGCAGAATTGCTTGTGCTATTTCTGTTGTGGCAATCATACTGTCCTTAAAGGCCACAATAAAGACCTGGCATCAGGAGACACTAGTTTGATAGCCTTTACGTTGTTTTTCTTCTGAGAAAGCCTCGGTGCTTCGCTCTTGGCATAAGTATTGTATGTATCTTAGGGGATGGATCTTCTGTCTTTACTGCAAGCAACTTCAGGTTGCTTCTTGTTGCCAGCTTACCATGCGGTTCGGGACAGGGTTTGCTGCAAGAGATGATGATATTAAAGATCACTTAAGACTAAAAGCCAAACACGAGAGGTTGGCAGTCGTCCCACAGAGCTCTTGAGCAATGTTCATTCAAACGGGTGTATTGGAGTGAGGCCTCTCAGCCCCATTGAGTCAGGCTGGTTTGTAACTGTACCACGTGCAACATGAGCATCTCTGTTATCCCATGGGCCCTGCCCTGCCTAGGAGGTAGAAGAGTGTTTGTCATCTACACAGGGCAATGTTTTGCAGAGTTTGGCTTTCTTAGTTGTTGTGTCTTACTGTAATACTGGCCTTGAAAATGTGGCCCATATTCTGTCAGCGTCTGACTGAGTCGCAAGCTCGTGTGTTGATTTGGGTCACTGTCAGGAGGCTGAGATCACACACCGAGATTTGTTGGGTGGCTTTTTAGTCTTGTATAAACAGCTGGCAAGAAGGATGAAGAGGAGGCTTGTGCTAATTTCGTAATAGTTACTAAATCCTGGAGAAACTTTGGAAACAATATATTTTATGTTTTAGACTTTTATTGCTAAAGCATCAGACTTGTGTACCTGCAGGTGCTAATGTCCTGCCAATGACCATTTGTTTTGCTTCCTTTTCTTTCCTAGATGATAGTCAGAAAGGTCCGAAGTCTCATCTTGAAATTCTGGCTGAAATGCGAGACTACAAAAGGCGGCGGCAGTCATACAGGGCTAAGAACGTTCATATAACAAAGAAGTCTTACACCGAGGTGAGATCTGAAAATAAAGAAGGCTTTGCACAGAAGTGCTTATTTTGGATAACAACATAAACAGTTACATACCCATTCAGACAAAGAAAATGTCTCTCTTTTTTTCACTTCTTATATTCTGCCTTATTAGAGTTGCAGACTATGGAGAATGTTTTTTTGGTTTGTGGCAGCAAGTTACAAGTCACAGGAGCATTTCTGACTATTGAATTTTGAATGTGTGAAAATTCCACCAAAATAGAGTTGACTGTCTTGTAAAATTGTGCTATTTATATTTATGCTGAAATAGCTGTTTCTGCAAATAAGACTTTCCATTCAAACATCTGATGTGTAGGGCTTGGGGGGATTTTTTTTTGCTTTTTTGAGATGTTTACCTTCTGCTTGTCCAGTTGCTTGTTCAGGCAACTAGCATGAGACGCTGCTTTTCTTCTTGTTTGTTTTTAATGTTTCAATCTCCAGGTGATTCGGGATGTGATTGGTGTGCATATGGAAGAACTCAGCAATCACTGGCAGGAGGAGAGTAGGTTGGATAACGCAGAGATATGTGAAGGAGGGAAGTCAAAATCTTCAGGAAGGTATGCCACAGTTGGTGAATTCTTCAGGGGTGTCAGAAGTTACTCTATTACCTCTTTCTAACGGGACACATACCAGCCTTGGCTGAATGTGCACAGTTTATTTTACGCTAATTCTGTTAAGCTTTTGCTTGAGAATCCCTTGTCTGCGTGAAGGATGGAGAAAAATAAATTTATTAGCTCTCTTTCAGGGATAAGGAGGTAAGTTGCAAATGATTCAGGTGACCAGGGAGAATGAATAGTGCTCCCTTCATATCCAAATGTATTTGTATGCAATTGCTGAAGGACACTTGAGAATACATTCCTACCACGACAGGGAATGTTATAGCAGATATATCTCAGAGAAAATGTTTTTATAACACACTAAAAATGAGGACCCTTTGCAGTTCTTAACAACTGTGATCGCTGCTGTGCTACCCAGGAGTGAGTTTTATGTATACGTATTTCTTCCTGTGTCAAGCAACAGTACACACTGTTATTTGTCACTGAAATAAAAATAGAATCGTGACCTCATGACAGTCTATTTGTGCTTCTTCAGGAGATGTTTGAGATGCAATTACTGTTGACACAAACCAAAAGGTGACGCTCAAGGTGTTTGTTTACAGCGTTAAAATGAAGGTGAATGAAAAGGCCGTGCAGGAGATCAGGCTTGCTGGGTTCCCCAGCTGTAGGCACCAGGTTAGGGCAGGTGGCTGAAGAGTTGGGGATTTAAAGCAAAACCGAGTGAGCACCCTTCTGCTGTCTCATGCCTGATAAACAGAAACAGTAAGACTGAGGGGCAGTGTTTGTAAGAAATAACTGGATTAAATAGTATGCTGAGATCTACACATTGAAGAGCATGGACTCTGGGCCTTTTCTGGGAGATACTGTAGTTTCTCAGGAAGATAAAGAGGCTTAATAAAAGATGTTTTAAAACTGGTACTTGAAACAATAGTGACTGTGAAACTATTTTTATTGAATAAAATCAATTTTTTTTTTTCAGAAAGGAAGACAGGCGGTCAGCTTCGGTGGACTCACGGCAGTCTGGAGGAAGCTGTAAGGATGCTGAACGCACCAGACATAGAAGAGAGACCAGCAGAAGTCCAACTAAACGAAAAAGGAGTCGAGAAAGAGGCAAAGACAGAGATTCTCGGAGAAAAAGAGAGAGGTGAGCATAAATAGTAACACCTGATTCCTGCTTCTGAATCAGGCAGCTCTAGCCATTGTCTCTGAGAATTTAGAATAGAATATCTAGTGCAATTAAAAAGCTATGCCAGTCTCATGTAGAGTGTAGCAAGTCTGTGGCATAAGGCTACTACTACTAAACAGAACGTGCTGTGAGATAATAAACTGTGATCCGGACTTCAGAATTTACTCTTATATCTGAGAGGTTCAACAGCACGCTACAGGGTTAGTGCTGTACTGTCTCAGGCTAGTTTACTCTGTGATCAGAATATGCACGGGGGGACACACTGTCCATTGAACCAACTGAGAGTGCTTGTCATGTCTAATGCTCTGGTTTGCACTGGGAGTTAATAAATAGGATTATTTGTTTCACTAGTATGTATAGATACACAGTCACTTGACTAGTTTTTCCATGGTAGATGCTTCAAAGCACTGTTGTTGCTCTTTGGTAGTTCTGGGCGTATTTTTTGGCAAAAGAAAACAAACCCAGACCGCACCTTCTAATAGCATCGGCCAAGGGCATGTTTGCATCTACAAGACCTCATAGGAGTGTGGGACTGAGGCTGCTGGGCAGGAGAAACACTGCGCTGTCCCCAGCACATCTGGAAGAAACGTGGTAGATAACTGCAGGGATGGGAATCATTGCTTGTCTCAAAATCAGCGTCATTACACAATGCTGCCATTCATCCTAAAACTAACTGTCACTAAGGTGCTGCATGACAAGGCTGTGATTAAAGCAGCATGGGAAATAAGCTGTTTTAAAGTAGTTTACTTTCTTTCCGTAGAAGAGGACACAATTACATTTAATGAGAGCTTTCCATTTTCCAAGTTGTTTTTTTTTCTTTCAGATTCTATCAGTCTGAGCCTAACAGCCCATACAATGTTTGTGTGTTTGTTACAGGGATGAAGACAAGTATCACAGCCATAAAAGAAGAAAGTAGAAACAAGAACGTGATTATTTTGTTATTTAAAAAAATACTTGCGCAGGAACTGTCATTAGAGCTGTTGTGCCAGGGAAAGTAATGCTGTGTACCGCAGTGTTGGTATTGCATCACAGCTGTGCTTTTAGACAAAACTAAAATAGTGTTACAGTTTGACAGAATGGAAGTAGTATATATACCAAAAAATGTGTAAATCTGTTATACTAATGTATCTATTAATAAATTACATTGATCTCTTGTCTATTTGAGCTTAGTCTGAGAACGCTGAAGAATGAAATCTCTGAGAGGCTGTACGAATTTGCCTTACCGGCCTGTGGCTTAGAACAAAGCTAATCCCTGGAGTCTAGGATCAATTATAAATGGAAAAGGCAGGAAAAGAATTCCCCTCCGATACTCACAGCTGACACTGTCACCTCTGGGAGCATTGTTCTGGAAGACAGTACTTACTGCCTAGTTACAGCATGTACCAGAGATAGGAGGGCCTAAAATATTTTCACCTGCAGCTACTGGTGAAAGGAGAGTGCAAGTTACTGTTTCCAAGCTCAGGCTCAAAGAAATTTAGGATCAGTGTCATTTGGCAAAGATGAGGAGAATATAGCTCTCCACAGAAACTACAGGGGAGGCACCGAGGACTTCTGTAATAGTGCTGATTGTCATTTTCAACCACCAGCTACCAATTTCTTTCCAGAAATAATTAGGAGTTCCTATCCTGTTGATTAACATACAAGTATTAGATACAGAGACTGATAAACTAGTACGACTTAATATGTATTTGCATCACTTTCTAGTCCTGTTAATTCCTTACACAACCTACTGCAGGAATGTCAGTCATCATCAGCCAAGCTTGTTACCTCAAAGGAAAAGGAAAAGTTGGAGGTCCATGTTACAAAATACCTTTTACTCAATATAAAGAGATGAGTGAAGGCATCACTCCCCAGGTGTGATCGCTGAGATCTGAGAGGCAGAAAAGTGTAACAATGTGTTCAGTTAACATCCACTGAAAAGCAATTTCAAGAGCGAGAAAGAGTGCCAGAGGATCTTCTTGTACGGTAATGTACAAATAACAGTCCTTTCAACACAAATTACTTTCTTGTACGTATTGATTTCTTTATTTTTACCTCTTGTCTAGTGCTGAAGAGTAGGCTTAATCAAAACAGTGTTGAGGGCTGGGTCAGAAAGTTTCTGAGCAGCACCATGCCAGCTTGTCGGTCACTGGAAAGGAATAAACCACGTTTTAGAAAAACATGTTAACGTGGGAAATCCTAATGTGTTGGACAAGATACAACTCTGCAGACACCAAAGCAGTGAAGAAGGAGCGGGAGGAAATGTTCCAGGTGCCAGAGCAGAAATGGCCTGCAGCCCGTGGTGAAGACCATGGTGAGGCAGGCTGTAGCCCTGCAGTCCATAGAGGTGACAGGGGTGTAGATGTCCACCTGCTGCCCGTGGAGGACTGCATGCCAGACTAGGTGGAAGCCTGAAAGATGCTGTGACCCCATGGAGCAAGCTCCTGGCAGGACCTGTGGACCCATGGAAAGAGGAGCCCCACACTAGAGCAGGTTTGCTGGCAGGACTTGTGACCCCACTGGAGAAGTTCATGAAGATTTGCAGCCTAGGAGAAGGACTCACACTGGAGAAGTTTGTAGAGGACACTCTCCCATGGGAGGGATGCCCCTGAGGAGGAAGGGTTAGCAAAGACAACATGTGACAACAAAGTCAACAACTGACTGCAACCACCGTTTCCCACTGGCAGGGAGGAGGTAAAGAAAACGGGGAGTAAAGCTGAGACTGGAAAGAAGGGAGGGGTGGGGGGAAGGTGTTTGAGGATTTGGTTTTATTGCTCATTATCCTATCCTGATTTAGAGTGGCAATAAATTAAACTGATTTCCCCAAGTTGCATCTGTTTTGCCTGTGACAGTAATTGTTGAGTGATGTCATATCTCAGATCACGAGCCTTTTGTTTTATTTTCTCTCCCCTGCCCAGTGAAGGAGGGGAGTGAGATGTTAGGATCCTAGATAGTAGAAAGAGTAAGTATCTATGTGCAAACAATGCCATGTAGGCAGCACTTGGAGGAGAAGCCCATTACAGATCTTTTAAAAATGGTTAATAATAAAGTGCATTTTGTGTAGCCTAATGTCCTGGTTTGAGCTCAAACAGAACCAGTTCTGTTCAGTGACTTTACTTTTCAGCTCAGTCTCTTCGAAGAGAATGCACTTCCTGAAGTTCAATATTTCTGACTTCAATAATTCAGAGAAAGATGGATAAATAACAATTTTTCATTTAACAGTTCAAACCCTGAGGTTGACCATGTAACAAGAAATAACTACACACACTTTTAATGTAACCTTAATGCAACCTTTACTTCTGTCATCATGGCTACACCAAAGTGAAAATAGACTATTCACTTGAAATTGAAGGTTTATGGGGAACCCTGAGGTGATCAATACATTAAAATCCCATGCATGGATTTTTACTTACGCTTCTTCTTTGATTCCACCGAGGAACGCTTCAGTTTCCTTCTGAGGTATTTCTCCATCGATACCGGCCAAGTATGAGTAAAGGAATGAGAACGTTTCGAAGGGAATGCGAGCCGCTCCACCTTCCGGGTCCTTGGTTAAGATTTCACAGGCATGTTTCATAGAACTAAGTAAAGACTGATGGAGGGGTCGGTCAAGAAATGAGAGGAACGGTATCAGAGCCATGAACATCCTTTGCATACCATGATCAAATCCAGACTAAGCCATCATCACTTTTGGGAAAAATACCTCAGATGACTGGTGTTCTTAAGAAATTCATACTTGTCTACTCTTACCCTAACTATGACCCTATTCAACTATGAACACAATTTACAGCTGCAGGAAATAAACGTAAATTTCTTGTGTCTGTCTTCCATTTAGGAAACTGAAGCTTAGATTTCATTATGCAGAGCTAAAATAAAGTCATTCACTTTATATCTGAAAGGAGGGACAAGTGGAGATAAATTTCGTCTGTCTGGATCCATCAGAATGATGTTCCTCTGACTCGTTTTTTTATTTTTTTTAAATAAGTAATGTTGCTGTTAATTTTTTTTAAATTAAGAACAGAGCTCAAACTACAAAATAATGTTGGGAGGGGGACTGGAATCAAGAAATACACAGTTGAAATTAATACATGTATATGTACATACATACACACACTTGCATTGCCAGGCTTCCAGATACTGTAACATTCTCAAAATATTATTTAATACGTATTTTCTTTTTTGTGCTCCTCCTTCCCTACTGTAGAAATCATTAAAGTACTGTACTTCATAAGGGCATTTTATAATCTCTCTGCTGGAATGCTCTGCTGAGATTTTACTGCTGACATTAAAAGAATTAAATGTAGAATTTTGTAACATTAACTGCTTCTGTAAAAATTTGACTACACACTCAATTAAAAATTCATGTTTTAATTTCTCCCTCCAGTTCTCCTCCACAGACATACTGATGCCATAAGGATCATTCCTCTGTCACCCTCTCTCTGACGGTCTAAGCTCCCTGTGGACAGGCTTTCTCTTCCATCTCAGTAAAGTGAGGACAGAGTCCTTGTTCTGGTTAAGGTCCCCAGCCAAAAGCTGATGGGGAACAGAAGTAAACACACAAGTCACTTTGCCAGCTGCTGCAAAAGCATCATCAATCTCTGAAGCTGATTTGCATTAATTGTTCAATGGCCTACCTCATACATGATCATAATCCTATGATATGTACGATTGTTTGTGTTCAGATATGAGGGCTCCTGCTGTGAACGTACCCCGCCAAGCACGCTGCACCCAAGGGCCAGGATCTTCATCCATTCCACCTCCTCGCCGAAGCTGTCCAGCTGCAGGATAGCTTCCAACTGCTCCTCTGGCAAGCACAAATGCTTCCATTTTTCCTTCAGTTCTGCAACAGTCACCATTCCTTTGGGAGAAAGCTTCAAACGACATAATGGTACCAGATTAAGAACTCCAAAATCCAGAATGAAACTAAGAACACAGTCCCTCCCCAAAATACATCAAGTAGTTGAGAGTCAGCCCCTCCAGCTCTCCCCCAAAAAATCAGCGTTCCTCAATAGCATTGTGCATTTGGTAACAGGCCAGTTTGTACCTGTTTGTGCAAGACTTTAAGTAGTCCTAGGGTCAAACCAGCATCTGTTTTCTCTGTTGCTAAAGGCATTTCGATCCTCTCCTTCACAGGAAGGGGCTCACCTTTCGACAATGCTGAAAAATACCTAAGTGAGTGGGAAAAGCAACACACTTCAATGCCCATGGCCGTTAAAAGTTGCTCAGAAGTAAAGGCTATTACAATTCAGTAAAGGAATCCACACGTTCCTGTGCAGGAGCGACAGCACTCAGCAAGCTGCCCACACACACAACTCCTATCTTCTTGCGCCCAGGTACCACCTTTCTTCTTAGTGGAAAACACAATCTTTAGACTTTACACACTCCTTTCTAAGATATTATAATAATTCTTAAGGCATTTAAGTTATTTGGTGTATGATATACTCAGCCCTTCTTGGCAAAGGCAGAGAGTGATTATTAACATCAGAGTGAGCTTGCAAACCAAAAGTACAGGCTTTTTTCTTTTGCTTAATGAGCACCTTAGGGCTGATTCATTTAACATTCCCCTCACACGCTACCCAAAAAGCAGGACTGGCTATTTACGCTGCAATTCTTTCATCAGTGTTTCTGCTACTTCTGTTCACTCCAAAATAAAATTTAAGGCTAGAGGAGAAAGAGAATTAGATGCACATCCTTTTAATTATAAGGCTGCCACAGCCTCAAAAGCAACCACCTCTGCCAGGACTGAACTCTGCAAGGAAAACAGTTTTCATTCAGTCAGAGGTAGGTATAATTTAAAGGTTTCTCCAATCATCCTCCCTCATCTGCCTCGGTCACCCCTATCCCTGCCCAGGCTATCCTGTGCTGTGCAAATACTTGCCAAATGCACAGTGAGCAGCACTGCAGAAACAAATCAGCGTGACTATTGAAACAGATGCATGGTACATATGTATATAGAACACCTGGGCTATTTTTCAGCTGGAGCCGTTTCCACATCTGACTATTCATGGGGACAGGCACTACACCACCAGCAGCGCATGTGAAACCACAGCTTTTCTCTGCTTCGCATGGCTCCTCGGCCCCTTGTTCCACCTCAGGTGCACTTACACCACAGTGCATTCCAGAAATCCCCCCAACGGAAAACATCTCACAGACACCTTTTCAAGAGCTTGTCCACAAAAAACAGAGGACAGGAGAAAATGATAGCCAGCAGCTGAGGTAAAAGAAAAAAAGAAGAAACATTTAAACATCCTAAATCAACTTTACAGTTAGAGATTTATTACGTGGACTATCCCCTAGAAGTTGAAACTTTTCATGCTCTTTTTCTATTCCAGTAACATTTAAGGAGACTCCTAATTTTGCTCCTAGAAATAAAAAAACCTCCTAAACAACCTTAAGAGTTAGAAAGATATCTTCAAGGTCTCCTTTAAATTCCAAGAATTAGGCCTCACAGAAGACAAAAGAATAAAAGTTTGTTCTTCAGGACAAAAAAATTAATTAAAAAATGTAAAATGCATTTTTCCATATGAAAATTAAATTACTCCAGAAACATGCTAGTCCTAAACCTCAATGAAACAGAAAATAAATCAATTACTACACTATTTCAAAAAGGCTTACATATTGCCTTAATGCACAGGAGTGTATATCCAATATACAGGCTGGTTTAATACTCTACAAGAAACAGGAGCAGTGAGACTTTGTGGGTCCACATACAGAGTACTAAATCGTTATGTCAACATCAAACTTACGCAGCTGCCCACTGCAAAACATCGTGAGGCTGAGTCCTAATAGCAGCTTTAGTGAATTGCTTCAGAATATCAGGTAGCTCAGGGGGGATTTTGATCTGCTGAGCACAAAAGGTGGTTTCTGGAAGAGGCATGGCCAGTTTGTGTTCAGTTACAAGAACCTGAAAGAAACAGTAACAAAACAGCAGTTCACAGATGCAGAATGCAAATAAAAAAACACATGTGCCCATGGGGGCCATCAGTACTTCTACCCAAACTCCCTCCTGCCCTACTGAGACAACTGAGGCTACAGAAAAACTGACAGACTCGGAAGGCTAAAGAGATGAACTCTGTGTGTCTGTCAAAAACTTAAGCTTGATGCCAATAGCAAGTATAAAAGTGGAGTTCAGACACTAACTAGAGCTCCAGGTAAGGTGAACTCCTTCTTTAACAGGTGTCTTTAGACAGCTTTAAACTGATTTTTCTCATTGGGCTGACCACAATATGAATTTATAAAACAGGCAGTCCAGAGAAGTCACAGCACACGTACCAATGTGAAAGCTAGCTATGCTGACAACTCACTACTGCATGCCACAGAGAGCCTCATCATTTTTGTATAGAAGCTAGAGCATACAGATTACCAACTTTTTACTATGTTTACACATTCAAAAAAAGCTGTAGCAAAAAGTAACTAATTTGTGCTCCTGACAGACTTTAGACCAAAATATTAAAGCAGTAGAGCACATTTGGTGGGAAATTTGGGCACTCTCCTCACAATTTCAAGAACAAACTACAGCCTATTTAAGTGGATCTAGAACTGAAAACACAACAGTTCTTCACAGAGGAGCAGAGCAGTGAAAGCAGTGGTATCAAGAAAGGAATGAGTGCAAGAGCATCCTTTATCCCTTCAGGTCTTTTATTTTGTAAGATGAAAATAACAGTATCTGGCAGGTGGCCTTCTCCCCTTATCATGTGAATCTTCCTGTATTGGGAAAAAAAGAATAAAATAAAAGTCAGCAACAAGAGGAACGGGACTGCTGTGACTCAAGGCTGCTTTGAAGATGAAATCATACTTAGAACTTAATCTCTGGAGAAACGCAGACAGGGTACAGCATCTTCATGACCGTGATGCAGCAAATTTGCACTGGGGACAAACTTCAGCACGTGCATTCAATAACTACATCGCTCACCCCCTTTCAGTAACGCTTCAAAAACGCAGCTCTACCTGAAGGGCTGAAGCTGAAGGCAAAAAGTTGGGGATTTCAGGATAAGCTAGACAACAGAAAAACCTCGGGGAGGGAGGGAATACACCTGCATGTGTGCCTGACCTGGGGAAGCAGTCAGAGAAAAGAAAAAAGGGGGGGAGGGAAGCATGAGAGCTGCTTTTGCCCAGCAGGCCATTAACCGGGCTGCCGAGAACCGCATGCCGGCGGCTTTTACGTACCCCAAGGAGGAAGACTCCAGAGCCGCTCTGAGCTACCTGCGCACTGCTCCGTCACCGCCTCACGGCGACAGCG